TAAATCCCTTTTTTTCCCATTTTTTCCCATTTTTCCCATTTTTTCCATTTTCCAGAGCCTGGCCCAGCTAGAGAACCTGTGCAAGCAGCTCTATGAGACCACGGACACGGCCACGCGGCTGCAGGCGGAGAAAGCCCTGGTGGAGTTCACCAACAGCCCCGACTGCCTCAACAAGTGCCAACTGCTCCTCGAGAGAGGCAGCGTGAGTACAGCCCAAAATTCCACCTGGGAATGGGAATTGCACCCTCTGGAGATGCAGGGAGTCCTGAAAAATCTATAGAATTCAAAAAAATCTCCAGGGAATCCCGAAAAATCAATTCCGAAAAATCTCCAGAATTCCAAAAAATGTCCAGGGAGTCCCGAAAAATCACTAGAATCCCAAAAAATGTCCAGGGAATCCCAAAAAATCTCCAGAATCCCAAAAAATGTCCAGGGAATCCCAAAAAATCTCCAGGAATTCCCAAAAAAATCTCCAGAGAATCCCGAAAAATCTATAGAATTCCAAAAAATCTCAAAATAATCCCGAAAAATCTCTAGAATCCCGAAAAATCTATAGAATTAAAAAAAAATCTCCAGGGAATCCCAAAAAATGTCCATAATCCCAAAAAATCTCCAGGGAATCCCAAAAAATCTCCAGGAAATTCCAAAAAATCTCCAGGGAATCCCTAAAAACCTCCAGAATTCCAAAAAATGTGCAGGGAATCCCAAAAAATTTCCAGAATTCCGAAAAATCTCCAGGGAATCCCAAAAAATCAATTCCAAAAAATCTCCAGGGAATCCTGAAAAATCCCCATAATCCCGAAAAATCTCCAGGGAATCCCAAAAAATCTCCAGGGAATTCCAAAAAATCAGGATTGACCCCTGCAGTGGTGCCTCCATGTCCCTTCTTGGGTTTCCACCTCTCCCTGCCCGCATTTTTCTGGGAAAAATCCCTTTTTTTGGGGGGAAAAATCATTTTTTTTGGTGAAAAATCCCTTTTTTTTGGAAGGAATCCCTTTTTTTGGGGAAAAATCCCTTTTTTTGGGGGGAAAAATCCCTTTTTTTTTGGGAAAAATCCCTTCTTTTTGGGGAAAATCCCTTTTTTTTGGTGAAAAATCCCTTTTTTGGGGGAAAAAATCCCCTTTTTTTTGTGAAAAAATATATTAATTAATATTTTTTTTTTTATTTTCCAGTCCTCCTACTCCCAGTTACTGGCAGCCACCTGCCTTACCAAACTGGTGTCACGCACAAACAACCCCCTGCCCCTGGAGCAGCGGATAGACATCCGTGAGTATGGAATTTTATCCCAAAAAATTTATGGGATTTTGATYCCAGGAGGTTCCCTACAAACTGTGGGATGGTTTATTATGGGATGGCTTCGTT